AATCCGAAAATTATCATGAAAAAACCTGAGGGAAAAAATAAAAAAGTTCTCGCAGAACGGCAGAACGGCAGAAGAGCTTAATAAAATAACTCCATGATTGACACCTTTGAGTGAAAAATGAGTGGATTTTTAGTGATAAAAATGTGTCGTCGAAAGGAGGGAGAAGGGGGTGGTCAGCCAATGAATGAGAATGAGAATGCTTGTAATGATCCAGAATGCTCCATCATCGGCGTGATCAATCTCCCTCATCTGGATAATCGATAGAGACACGGGGGGGGGGGGGAAAGTTGAGTGTGATAGACTATCTCATTAAAATCTCGTTACCGCCGGTTTAATAAACTCTAATTGCTGCACGGCAGGATAATGAGAGAGAGTTCGTGGTGTCTCCCCCCACGAAGTTGTCATTACGAAGCCTGTCGGGTTGAGGGAGCCCGTCGGGTTGAGGGAGCCCGTCGGGTTGAGGGAGCCTGTCGGGTTGATACGAACCGAGGGAAATTCCGCTCGGATCCCCCGGCTTTTTTTTGGCACAAGATTTTGCTCGGGGAAGTTTGTGGGCATGCATGGCTTGACCAAGAGTAATCCATTTACGGCCTAACTGGATTTCTCACTTCTTCCCTCATCTGTTTCTAAACCCTGGGGCACGTTTACTCACCTCCGGCTATACCAGAAAACGGGAGGGAAAAAAAAGGGAAAAAAAGGAGGAAGAGGGAGGATTCGCACGTTTTCTTTCCGTCTAGATGACTCCGTCCGGAGTGGAAGGAGCAATATAAGATGGAAGAGGAAATTAGGTTTTCCACTCCTCTTAGCTCCCTCAGCTTCCCTATATGACTCGGGGTTTTCTGTTTCCCGTCGATGTGAGGGGAATGAGAAACCGATTTACGTTACAGTTGTTGCCGTTCCGAAGTTCCGTTTCGTTTCCTACCGACGAGACTCCCAGCGGACCGACACGTGCAGGACGAGCAATAAAGCGACAACCTCACCGGATTAATCCCCTCGTCACATGCACACACTCTTTTGCGACGGCAGACTTAATCCCCTTTCACGAACGAGAAGTCGAGAGGGGATCGGGCACAGCTGCAGGTGCGGATTCGGACGCAAAACGAAGTCGACTTCGTGCCTCGTCGTCCGCATCGATTGTCGGATGCGAGGGAGACCCCCGAGTCCTTCTCGTATTGATATGAAAATCCCGTTATTGAATGAGGGGCCGCGATGATATCCAGGCATTCACCAGCTGGTTCTGTCATGCAAATCCTCCTTCTCCTGAATATTAAAGGCTCCGTGCCAACTTCTCCCCCTTTCCCCTCATTTTCTTGCACATATGCGCATATTTCCTGCATTGTTTGCACGAGCCTCTCGTCCCCGCCTGCCTTGGGCCTTTCGGGTGTGGGAAGCCGATCTTCGAACCGATCGGCTCCCCAGGAGTTTCGAGTGCCATCTGCTCCTTCGTTCTCGCGATGAAGTCGATCATGAATATGAATCCTTGGAGTATGACGCGGTGACTTCGGCAGATCCGTGATTGACCCGAGCAGCTTATAACACGATTATTTTCCTGTTCCTGTCGCTATGAGCGCGATATCGTACGGAGACCTTCACGAACCGACTGATTAATTCCGCAATTTTTTCCCTAGAAGCTGGAAAAATAGGAAGGGGGCAGAATATTCCATTGGAAGGAAATCTAATCAGATGAAGGTTTGGGGGGGGGGGGGGGGGGTGTTCGTTACATCTCATCATCTTCCGAGTCTCATGGTTCATCAAGAAAAGAGGGAACCATACCATACAATACACTATATAACTTATTCCACTCGGCTTCCCCATTAGTGTTATCCTCTCCAGGGCCTTCCAGAGCCTTCCAGGGCCTTCCAGGGCCTTCCCTCCTCTCTCTTCCACTTTCCTGATTCTCATCTCGCCTTTCTTTCCCCTTTTACGGGATCCATTCATCATGTTCAGGCCTTCGCTTGCAGCCCTCCCTCCGATGACGTCATCGGATCCCCCATCGCAAAACCGAAATCCAAAACGTAGTCCAGCCGAAGAAAACCGAGTGGAAGCAACGGTTGAAGGTGGGATACGCCGCACTCGAAGCCCTCGAGATCGATAGAACGAATCCTTCCATTCTTTCCTTTCTTCCTCCAGGAAGGCAATCTCCCCTCCTGTTGAAAAGATGGTGGGGAGAGGCTGTTCTCTCCGTCCTCTCCCTCTCTGTTCTCCGAGTAGAAATTGCCAATTTGCTCCCCCCACTCCCTCCCCCGATTGACAACTTCCCATTTCCCCCATTCATTGTCTCCTCCCCAATTCCCATAGACACTCACGACCGGAATTCTCGGCAGGACCAGAGATCGTCGACCGTCGACCGATCTCGTCCGGGCTTCGAGGGCAGCTTTTCGTTTTGCAGGGGGATTCATCATCCATAAAATTTGATGTAACAACGCCATAAAGTTTCTATATTGAGTAATGCGGCTGATTTATGGGATCGATATAACTCGAGAGAGCTCGGACTCGACTCGCACGAGGAAAGGGGCTAGAGACGACTGTCGTGCGATCCGAGTCTGGGAAAGGAGTTACGAAAAAGTCATCATTCATCGAGGTGTCACAACGTTTGAGGAACTTCCCGGCTCGCTTCATCATTTTTCATGACGGTCCGACGAATTTCGCATACTTCTCTCTCTCTCTCTCACGATTTCATGTCCATCGGACGAAACCTTCCCCAGAAGGAATTACTCTTGCATTTAGTGCAAGGAAGTGACCTACAGAATAAAAAACAGCCGTAAGTCAAGCGAAATTGGAGCGTGAATCCGATGTGCCTTACCGCAATAATCAGTGCTATTGTTTTCCGTTACCCCTTGCACTTACTGCCCTTAAAAAAAAAGACAGGAACGTACGTCTCACTTAAAGTAACGGATGCATTCAGTAGTCATTCACCTTGCGGAGTTTCGTATGCGAAAGAAGACATTTTTCACGGTGGATCTTACCTCGACGAGACTCCAACCAGTTGTCTGAAAGAAGAGAATCGCATGAATGCCCCTCGTTATAGAGGAATCTCATATCTTATCATGCTATGTGTTTCCTCGAAATTGAAGTTGTTTATGACTTTTGACCTTTGTCGATTGCCTCCTACGAGCGCATTATAGTGTTTACCATTTTCCTCCTGGAGATACGAGAGGGGATGAGAGATCCCTCATTATCCGTATCTTGTTATTTTCGTCCCATAAAAATCTGTCACGGTGCCATCGAGTCCAAGAAAGATCCGGGACGACCCAGCCGCCGCGAAAACCCCCGAGCCGACCCAGCTGCACCAAAAAACTCCGACCCCGAGCCGACCCAGCCGCCCCGAAAAACTCGGACCCTCGATCGAACCACCCGCACTCGTCGATTCGGAGACAGCCAAGGCCGCTTTTCAATCAGCCCAACCGACCTCGCGATTCCCAGGAGGGAAGGCACGCAATCCTCGCGAAGTGGAAACACGCCTGGCATATTATAAGAGATCAGGAAGGGCGTGAAGATGACGGCCTCATGAATATATATAAATATCCGCTCGTGCAAGGTCGTCGGTAACATGCATCCTCATTCGGCATCAACGACCCACGCTCACCTGATTAATTAACCCGTCCGCTGATTAATGACGCTTTGATTGCAGGGTACCGACGAGTCGGACGTGTATATCAAGGTGACCTCGTGTTCACTCTTTTATTCAATGGGCTAGACAAGTATATAAATTATGCACAGAAAATTGAAAAAATATATCGTCGTCAGTCGGAGATGATCCGGACGCGGCAGACCGGACAGCACGATTGATTCCCGAGCCACCTCAAAATGCACTGAAAAAAACAAAAACCATTTTATGAGGTACGTAATTTAAGCAACCTAAGCAACCATTGCCTCATCCTTCGGTTTAGCATCGGTTTCGAGATTGCCGAGCAACCCTGCTGCTTACGTCTGATTACTCCGACTTCGTTTCTACCTATACCTGATGTGAATATTGAAAGAGCGAGATGATGATGAGATGTAAATCATCGCCAGGAGGCCTTTTTGAAGAAATGGGATATACTCTCGCAACCTCCCTTTTTAATGATATTTAATTATGTATGGCAATATTTTGTGATTATCTATGCAGTGTATGACAAAAAATACAAATGACGTTTAATCTACATATCGCCGCTCTAACTGGGACAATTCCCCCGAAACTGGTTCCGTGCACATTTCCCCAACAGATCTTCGAATTCGTTTTCTTCAAGCCGAAGCAAGACCGCGAGGAAATATTCAAAGTCGGACGTTGAAAATGGGGCAAGAGTTGGTAACTGGCAGCGGATTTTTGAGGAACGTCAGAGCGTCGCAGTTGCACGGCATCAAATTCGCATTTCACCTCATTTTCCATTCAAATTCAATCTTTGCAGACGGAACTATTTTTTTTGTCTCTAAATACTGAATAAGTGAATATCAAATAGAGAATTTGCTAGAAGTTTAAGATTTTCCCTTGGTTTGCGTCGGAGAAAGAAGAAGGGAGAAAAGTCCTCAGTCCATTTTCAACTTCCGTTATTTTTTAAATAATTGCTCATAGCATTTTTCTCGTTGTTCATCGAATGACATGTTCCCAACAGGTCTAAAAATATCGGCAACATTAAAAAATATATATATATATTGGTGGAAACAGCTCCTGTGAGAGCAGAGATATATAGGTTACAAGCCGTTAGCTATATCTTAGCCATGCCCTGCATATTAAAGTCGATGCAGTCGTAGATATAGAGGCAACGTCACCGACCAGACGTGTTAAACTAGACCCGCATGTTTATGATCTGAAGATGTATAATTTGTGCTTCAACCCTGCAAAAAAATGATGAAATGAGGCTTAAGCCTCACACGTGACGCACGTGTACGGCCCGAAGGGACGAACCGGTCCTCGAGACTACAGAGTGGGAAGACCCCATTACACGATTCGAAGGAGCATCTCCGGGCCTTAATTATAAAGGATGCTCGCATGTGCAGAGTCCGTTGTACGAAACGCGGCGTTACGAGGGTGGGCGGACAACTGATGTACCGACCCGGGAGTGGAAGGTGTGTCCGCAGAAGAGCTTCATCTGGTCGCTCGGGTCAGCCATGTCAGTGCAGATCGGGCAGTGGATCGGCCATTTGTCTCGCTTCTCTTTCTCCTCGTTTTCCTTCTTCTCTTCTGTCGGAAAAAGAAACGCAACTTTTTTTTTAAACGATGCCTCGTCTAATTGCACTTGGAAGCGTTTAGTTACGTCTTGAACGATTGGCCGAATTCCATTAATCTCTTTAGCAATCTCGGCGCAAAATAAATTCCGGAATCAGAGAAAGGTGAAAGGAGCCGGATCGCGAATGAGGGCCGGATACCGATGACGGGTCGTGAGACGGGAGCCGACATCACGTTTCTCTCGTGTCGCACTCCATCTCTCGCACTAGCCTAGAGGAAAGCATCAACTGTGAATTAGTTGCGAGAGATGGATGCGACATCAAAGAAACATGGTGTCGGTTCGCATCTTACGACCCGCCCTTCGCTATTCGGCACGCTTTCGAGATTCGGTTCCACTCCCGAGATGACCGTAGAGGAATGAAGACGGAAATTCGAGTTAAGGAATCTCGAGAATAACCCAATTAGGACCTGAATAAATCCAATGGCCTTATTGCACGAAGGAACGATAAGATGGGCAACGATAGAGAAGCCAACACGAAAGCTTAAAAGGACCCACTCGTAAAATACTGAAAGATTACTTAATTTAAAAGATATTGGCAATTTAAAAAAGTTTAATTTTTGTTTTCAAATCGAAACGCTTTGTCTCCTACAAGAATGATACGCTTTCTTATCGGTATCGAACACGTGTGAGTCCGTTAGGGATCTAAATTACCGGAAAGCGAAGATACCTCGGTGTTTTTTGGCTCTTTCCTCTCGGAGGATTTCCTCTGCTTCTTCGTCTGTGATTTCCGTGATGACGACATCAGGTTCTCGATCCTTTTTGGCCGTCGCGTCCGCCGAATCCTCTCGGATGATGGTGTGGTACACCACTCGGGTGCTCTCCCCCGGTCCGTTGAAGATGTGGTGGTACATCTTGGTGCCTCCGCTGGGACGGTAGTACTTCGTCCCGGTGCTAGCCCTCGGTCCGCCGTCGCACTTTGCGCTTAAGGGTTCTTCCTTGGACTTCGTTTCTTCCTCGTTCTTTCTGGTACCTGATTTATTGTACTTCAAGGGGTCATATTGGCACTTCGTTTCTTTGTCGTTCTTTCTGGTACCTGGTCCAGGGTACTTCGTCCTCGTTTCCTCGTCGTCCTTTCTGGTACCTGGTCCAGGGTACTTCCAGGGTTCATGCTGGTACTTTGTCTTCGTATCTTCGTCGTCCTTTCTGGTACCTGGTCCAGGGTACTTCCTCCTCGTTTCCTCGTCGTCCTTTCTGGTAACTGGTCCACGGTACTTCCAGGGTTCATATTGGTACTTTGTCTTCGCTTCCTCGTCGTCCTTTCTGGTATCTGGTCCACGGTACTTCCAGGGCTCATGCTGGTACTTCGTCTTCGTTTCCTCCTCGTACTTTCTAGCGCTCGGTCGCTGGTACTCGGACTGGGGTTTGCGGATGGACTCGGTTCCGGTCGGTACCTCCTGGTCCTGATCCTTCTCTTTTCGGGTTTTATGGGTGAAGGGACTTCCTTGGTCCTTCTTGGGGGTGAACCGAGTGAAGGTCATGGAAGAACGGTAGCGAGGCCGATCTCTGTCCTCCTCGTCGCTCGCATAATCGCTCGTCCACTCCTCGGTGAACCTGGAAAGTGCGAAAAAACTGCGATGAGATTTACCGAGACGTGAAATATGCAGCAGTGAGAAATTTGCAGCGGTGAGGAATCCGTGTTCGCTTCAAGGTCAGTCTGCCACTTCAATTTTGCGCAACCTCTTTCACACCGCTGTGTTTCTTGTTTACGAGAGGCTAAGTGTCAGAAAAGACGGACGCGACGAGTTGAAGGAGAAAGTTGAAGAGTGAAAGTTGTGAAAATATTCGTCGGACGGGGCCGATTTAGTCAGTCAGTGTCTCTACAGCTCGCCTGAGTCAAACGTGCCAGCTCTCATCCGGCAACTGCGAAATCTGTGACGTCTCGGAAGACGTGGATCATATTTTACGACTCCACGGAGCTTCGTGAACAGTCCATTGCACTCAAATCGACTTGGCATCTTTCCATTTAGGCAATTTTTTTCAAGCCGGAGAATCGAGATTTCTAGATGGAACTGCGCGCAATGCAGAGCCAAAAAAAAAAGACTGGGAATTCATGGAAGTCTGTATTATAATCCATTATCTCATTAAAAAAAAAACTTGGCACTCCCTCGAGCTTCTCCATTTGATATAGTCGTTATTCTCCCATTTATGGCTTTAAATCTCGTCCCCCAATCAGGGCGAATTCTTTATCATTGGAAAGCTGTCATTGTCTTCATCGATTCAGTATGCAACACATGAGGGCTCTTGCATGAGTCTAGGCAGGGAAATGAAATAAAGATGGGAGATTCAGTTTTATCCATTGCTTTTGGACAGATTATTTTTTTTTATTGTGCAGAATTTCAGTTAATGCACGAAGTTCACAACCCCGCTATAGGCTGCATGCCAAAAGCACAACTCAGTATTGAGTATGCCAAGGAGCTTCAGTTTCACTTACAGCCTACCGATTTGTTTCTTTATTATTATAATCTATGTGCTGATCCCTGGCCTTTTAACAGCCATTCCGATAACGGCAACGAGCTACGAAGTTTCCTCCATGCATGAGGAAGCATTAGATCTGCAAATAGGAATAAAAATTTTAATCGTGATTGATGATATCCTCCAGCTGCTCACCAATCAATCGAGCGTTTGTAGCAACCCAAAATTCGTTCGTTTGGCCGCTCTGGAATCGAGAAGATAGAAAAATACATGGATCCATGCAAAACGATTTGTTGTCGCGGAAGACAGCCTGCAATGGGAGTGTTCAATCTGGAAACCCATTCTTTCAAGTCGCTTTTGATGTTACTCTGGGGGGGAATGAGTATAAATTACGAGTGGCAGGCAGAGCCATCTCTCGGTCGTGCACGCAGTCTTAAATCTATTTCCGACGGAGTTAATTTCCTTCCACTGTATCAAAGATGATTTCGCTTATGACATGCTCGTGCAGAGAGATCTGTAGAAATGCAACGAGATGCTTGACTCGCGAGTAAGGCTTTCATAGGGTTAATCGCCGATAAAGATCTAATCGGGTTTACTGCTCTATAAATAAGAGCTGTTACAGTCGTGTTTATGCAGCATAAACTCGAATAGGTAGGCATACGAACGCTACCTGTCTCTGAGGATCTTTTTCATCTCTTCTTCCAAGTCCTTCCATCTGCGACTCCGATCGTGCTTGGGATCGGGGCTGGGGATTCGATACGAATGGGTGGAATCCCTTCGACCCTCGTCCCTTCGGCCGGGTCTGCGATGATAATGAGAATGATGGCGGCGAGGCTGCTGCTGCGGGGGATCCTCGGGACGGAACCGGGAGCGGGAGCAGCGCTGACCCAGGAGGTAGTCCAGGAGAGACTGGACGCGGAGGAATTCCCAGAGGAGGTCCCCGAAGTCGAAGAGTCGGTTCGTCTTGCGGTGGCGGGAGAACCAGGCGTCGTCGAAGTCCCAGATGTCGTCGGCCAGGTCGTCGAAGAGGAAGCTTCGGGCTCGGGGTCTTCCGGGTCTGCTCCCTTGCTGGCTCCCGAACATGGGCATGATCGCCGACTAAAAGGCGTAGGAGGAGGGAGACAAGAAAACCCGAAGTCGGACATAATAGAAGCGTTTACGACAAAGGGTGGACTCACGAGACAGGTGGAATATAGAGCGAGAGTCGGAATTCGTGTAGGCATGACAAGTCGTAAAGCTTCAAGGATTACGGGATCGTTCTGCGTGTTTCTTTTTTCTCGTCTACCTTTACGATGATTGTCTCATTGATTTGATTATCTCCTTGCGATATTTCACATTTTCCTCGAATTTGATTTATCAGAGATGATATTAATGAATTGACCCCCATTCTGTATGACGTTAACTCAAAATTGAGCGACGATATCTGCATTTGAAGCGCCTTCCTGAGGCTCTAAAGACACAACTAATTGGCCAATGGTACGAAAAAAACTAATGAGGCCCGTCTTTTTCGGGAATCACGATGGAGTGGTTCGCACACCCACGTCTCTCAATAACGATGATCAGCTTCTGATACTAATTTTTTTTGTGTCCTTGGGTATCCCGGCTTCCGCAATCACGACCTACACGCTAATGACAACCCTGTGATAATCACCCGATCGATGTGTGTGGGCTCACTTTTTCATCATTATTGAGCACGATTAATCATTATTAGCGAATTCCGTCACGAAAGGAGAAAGTTTTAACGGCGTCATTACGTATACCTCCTATTGCATAATTCCATGGCGTGCAGATTTTTTTAACGCACATCGAAGAAGCATAACTCACCGAAAGACGAAGGGAAGGAAGGAAAGAACGGAGGGACAGGAGGGATGTAGAAGGGATGTAGAAGGGATGCGATAGACGCCTTCCACTGGCTAGTCTTCCACTCGAGACGCACCTCCGGGTTCCGTCTGGTGTCAACTGAGAAAGGTTACTGGGACGGTGACGTGGTTATATCGCCCTTACCGTGACACCGTGGTGTCTCTTGCCTTCTTTCTCTCGCGTCGGAGTTGCCAATTCTTCTATTTCTGACTCGATGACGCATTTCCCCTGCGCCGTGCCACTTTAGGAAAACCTGGCACCTTCAACTACTCTCATTCACGAAGTAGAGCCCTCACCCGCTACTTCGTTTCCCTTCGCAACGCTTTCAGATTCGTCTCTTTCGGCCGCTCTCATCGTAGTTCTCCTTCCCGACAATGCGAGTGTTGCAGCTCGGTCCAACAGTTGTGCTTTTTTATTGTTCCATTCCTCAGGTGAATTAAAGGAATGACAAGCCGTTGAAGGTCATCGTTGAAAAACTCGAACCGTATATATTGTTTATGAGAAACATTAGCAATGGTTTATTAGGTGCTCCGGGCCGGCGAGGGGCTCTGGCCTTGCACTTCAGAAGTCGCCGTGAGTTCGTTTGTATCTGCAGAGAACGTAAGAAAAAAAAATAGGAGAGTGACTCATGGCGACCGTCCTCATCCTATTTCTTTCGCCTTCTTCCTCCTTCCGGCCGTGACGTCAAACGTCAACCTGGTTCCTGGTGCTTTCAATCATCAAGTATCTCGTGCGTCGCAAGTTCCGAAAGGATCATTCACCGATGTATATCCTTTATATCCTGACCTCTACGGGAGCCCTTATCAACATCTCTCGGTACTCCACAATAAAATTACGCCGTGTGTCGATTTATCGAGGTCGAGTCAGTCGGTCCCATTCCACATTGTAGATCTTGGGTAGGGGCTCGAACAGCGTGTATTCTAATACGGACCTTCTAGACATATACTTTATATACATGTATACACACACTGAGGTTTAACAATGAGGAGATGTGATCCCAATCTGCCTGTGTCCCAACTCTTGAATCAGCCGCATCATTCATTGGCAGACGTCCAGGCTGATATACTTTGTGGTGGTGAATTCAGGAACGCAAAGGAAAGGAAACTCATGAAAATGAAATATATTAATAGGAAAACCCACGCAATAGGATTGAATAGGAATCTGGGATTTTTCTCCAACTGTCGCTTTTTCGACCCAACTTCATAGTTTGACAATCGAAATGGGCCTACTTCTTCCACCCGAAGAAGATACAGTCGAGACGTTAGGGAATTTTACATTTTTTCCATTTTGATCGGCTGCGAGGTGCATTTTTTCGTCCCTGGTGTGTATAGATATATTTGGCAATAGGCAATTACCTGGCTGGCAACAGAAATGCCCAGCTTCCGAACCCAGAAGCACGGAACAGAGACCAAAGCTCGAGTTTTTGCAAATAGCTGACAAAGCTTAAGGAAGTCGAAAAGAGAAAAAGACAGCGAAGGATCCTATCCTATAAATTCGTCAGGCAGCCTGAGTCTTCAGGGGGTTGAGACCGCAAGTCACAACAAACTCGATCCAAAATCGTTTCTGCCGTCAGGTACAACGGCCGCAGATCTAAATAGATATGGCAGTACCTAATGCCTTCTAAGCCATCCCGGCTTAAACCCATCTGTCAGTACTACTCTCAGCAATGAATTTGCTCGACCAGCCTCGCAACCGAAAGCATGGTCTATGGAAAAAAAGGCAGAGCATGGTTTGGAATGATTCAAGCCTATGAAGGTAATGAAAAGGGGGCTGTAGCTTGGTGTAACCCAAGCCTAGGAAAGCCTAGTCTAGCTAAATAAGAGATGTGATTCCATAGTTGGCTAGCCAACACAACCGACTCCACATAGTAAGACAAAGGAATTTAAAAAGAGAAGAATGAAAGGAAAGGAGCCTTTGGGATCTGAAAGAATAGCAGGATCCTCACGAGGGGCACGGTCCTGTGAAAACCTTCAATGCAGAGAGATCTTTTTCCGAAATCCCACAAGAGCCAAAATAAGCTAGAAGTAATGAAAGAGTATAGCTGAAAGGTTGTTAATTGAAAGAAACCACAGCTTAAGTCATTCTCAAAATCACCACAAATCATTGTGGCTGTGAGTGGAATTATTTTCAAATATCCTTAAAACGAGCTTCCAGAGTAATTTTATTCTCATGGGTAATACGGTGTTTCGCCAAGTCATTGGAATCCCCATGGGGAGCAGTTATTCAATTAATATGGTCAATCTTTTTTCCTTTTCTTCTATGAGCGAAACGTCCTTTAAAAAAAAAAAACACCTATTCTACACAGGCATATACTTTTACCTTTAGATATATTGCCGATCAGGTGGCACTCAATAACAACTCCATCGAGAGTGAAATTACATCTATTAATATATATCCAGATTCCAAGGAGGTGCAGGAAATTGCCTCACCCCCCATTCAAATCAGCTCATTACTTGGATCTCAACCTTAATATTACAGATTCTAAGTTTTCCATAGAAATTTACGACAAAAGAACAGACTCTTCCTTCGAAATTGCTAACATGCCAATGCATAGGTCAAATATCCCTAAGAATATTATCAATAATGTCATGAAATCACAATTAAACAGATACTTGCAGATCTGCAGTCACCAGGACGACTTTATTTATTTAACTGCGGTCTTTTACACGATGAACTGATATATAATGGATATGCAGATCGGTGTTTGAAAAACCATTTTGGCCTCTTCGCGAAAACTCACTATCTCATTATTTTGCAGAAGTTTGGCGTTCCTCTCGCAAGTGAACATTTCGTTTTCCGCCAGTCGGTCTGCTGGACTGGGGCTAGCCTCTGAGTCATAGGCCTGGGTTAGTCCCTGGCCAAGGACAGATTTCAGGGATCGGGCATAGACCATTCGCCTTCTATGGTCGACTGTGCCTCTCCTTCGCTGCCTTCTTTTCCCCTCTCGTAATTTATCTGTCGATCAGGGGATAGTTAAGACTGTTGGTTTTGGTTTACGTCCATTGGCTCGGATAGCAATGCGTGATCCAATTTACCAAGTGAATTCTCCCAGTTTTTGTGGAATTTTCTCTTTCTCCACTCTTTTCTTATCGATCCATGGATTGTAGATAGATCTTTCGGGCACGGATTCCCACAAGAGCTTAATTTCTTGATAGCCGTCGGTTAGAGGTTGTCTGCTCTCCCGAGCATCGTTGATTCCATTTTCGCATTTCACCTTGCACTGGTTGCCTTCCTGCAGCATCAGCGTAAGCTTTCTCTTGCCAATCGAGTGCGCATCGGTGGTGATCATGAGAATGACTTAAGCCGTGACTTCATTCAATCGAAAACCTTTCAGCTATGCTCTCTCGTTTTCTTCTAGCTTATTTTAGCTCGAATGGGATTTCGGAAAAGGATCTCTCTACGGGACCGTTCCCCCGATGAGGATCCTGCTATTCTTTCGGATCCCGAAGGCTCCATTCCTTTCATTCTTCTCTTCGTAAATTCCTTTGTCTTACTTTTTGGAGTCTGTCGTGCTGGTTAGCCAGCGATGGGATCGCATCACTTTTGTCATGCATTTAGTCGTGTTGTCTGCTGTGGTCGGGTTTCTCGCGCGCTGCTTCACAACTTTGAGCAATGTTGGGTGGTTTAGTGGTGTGGCGCTCTTTTGGGCCATTTTTTTTATAGCTATATATATTCCCTTTACATATATACATATATACATAATATACATTCCCTTTCGGAATGTAACGGATCTCCGATAACAGTGTGATGAGGGAAAAAATATCCTTTATTGTATGATTCCATCGGAGTCAGACCATCCCGGATTTGGGGGGAGCCAGGTTGAAAGACCAGAACTTCTGTGTCTTCCCGAAGAGCTCGGAATCTTCCAAAGTGTCCGGAAGATCTTTCTTCAAGGTCTCCGGAAGGAAACTGGCCACGATCCCCGCCGCCAGCGACAAAACTGCCCACGTCGCGTATGGAATCGCGATGTGGATCTCCCCCTGAAGCAACAAAAGATATTTTTAAAAATTTTTTTCCGATCATCGATCGAATGGGTACTTGAAGTCCTGAGACACTCGATGTTTTAGACCATGAGGAGTAGAAAAAAAAATTGGCGTTAAAGCTAATTAATGAATGCATGGATGGGGAAAAAAGTCGGTCGACAAATAAAAGATTGAATAGACCAACACGGAAATGAATACACGCTGAATCCGATATTGATGAATGAGAACGCTCGTATATTAAAAAAAAAAATCTTAAATTAATGAACCTCAAGGATGAATGAGCCCCGAACTCAATCGAGGAAAAAGCCTTGGAATGACGAGCGAATCTCGTTCCATCGATCAAATATCGCCGCTATCGCCACCTGGCGCGCATCTGGTCCGCTGCGGATCCGCCGTGACAAACAGGTACGAATGTCTGCATCTCGTTTCCTTGCTCGATTTCGGCCATATGGCTTTTTCTGGCGAGCAGATGTTGGGGGGTGTTCCGTTTTGTCTCGGGTGGATGTAATGAGCGTCGATGGAAAGGCCATTATGCAGATTTTTCTTGCTTTCGAGATTGCTTGGAACGTATTAATTGCGAGGTCGACCGCGCCCAAGACCGATCGGTATTTTCGAGGAATCTATGCGTATTTTTTGCGCGATTTCACCATGATTATGTTAGGACTCATTTTCCATCTCGAGTATGGATACGAATTCGAAGGAATTCAGCCTACGTCACGAAGCCTCGGGATATTGTGGGATTAGGGGCATGCTCATCGACTTTCCACAAAAAATTAGACGAATTTGGCGCAGAACCCGAACTCAAGAGGATAACGAAAAGCTTGCCCTTAGGAAAAAAAAGAAGAGCACTTCCAAGAACACTTTAGAGAAAAGAACCTCACCAGATAGAGCAGATAAGGAATGGGAATAGCAAGAACAGCCGAGACGACCGAGACGAACGCCATCCCGGTTGAGCGAAGCACGGTCGGGAAGATCTCCACCTGCTGCTGATAGATGACCTGGTAAGCACCCGACACCCCGAATTTCGCCACCACCGCCCAGACGATCCGCAGTACCGCACCTGCCGTGTTCGCGTCCGTTCCCACCGAGTCGAGGAACGACGCGAAAATTAATCGCCTTTCAAAATTCACTCAGGAGCGAGAAAAAGCCAAGAAAAAACGCTCAATTCGACGAAAATAATAACTCCACGAAAATAATAAGCGAAGGGAAAAACTGATGGACCGACGAGGAGGACGAATCTACGTTCCAAGCGATTCGGATCTCGATATCGCATTTTTCGCGTGTCATTCGAATCGAGTGGAATCCAGCATGAAATGAAGACCCCTTTTGTCTGAATCCCGAATCCCTTACGTTCGAGGAGACCGTTCCTCGGATCGGACGATACGAGAAATAGAACTCGGAATCGGCGGGATGATTGATGACGACATGGATGAATCGTGCAGTCCGATATCGGCAGCGTCCCCGTTCTGGACGTTTCTCGAATCGCATCCGTTCCTGATCGAATCGTCGCAATTTAAACTCTCATTCGAACGAGATTCGTCGACCTCGAGTTCTGACTCGAATGAATTTCGATCTGATTGGAATGGGATCTTGATTCGTACTTGCCCTTGCTGTTTGCGTACTTTTCCGGTAAAAGCTTCCTGAAATTAAAATCACTAGTAATATTGAACCGATGAACATTAATTTGGCGATTTTGTTCCTCATTTGATGTTTTCCCGTAGAGCAGCCGAATTAATTAATGCGACTTCCGGCATCGACCGAATTTCGCGAGTCGTTCGACCCTGCTGCAGCGGCACGGCCGCGAAGCGCCGCCGGCTTCGCGACGTTCCGGCGACGGGGATCGAGCGACTCGCGAAGCGACGCGTCCGCGGGGGTACCCGAGTCGGTACCTGAAATCGGTGAGCGAGGGGTACCTGAGTCGGTCGAAGGGACGAGGGCGCAACCGAGGGCCGACAGGATCAAGAGACCGCACGAGGTCCATCTCCGGCCGAATCTCTCCATCACGAGATACGTCACGTAATAAGAGGGGAATTCGATTCCCGCCAGGACGATCGTGCTCAGAAACGGGTTTCCCCCGAGATTCCCCACGTCCATGTGCAATCCGTAGTAGAGCGCCAGCGACACGTAACTACATCACGGAAAAGCTCGTTTAAACCTCGTTCGAAAGCGGAAGAATCGCTCGAGAACGCTCGTCCTCACTACGAAAAAGTCATGATGAAAGTCCTCGCCCTCATGACCGGCCCCCTGAGAAGCGCAAAGTACTGCGGCATCACCGGCTGCTCCCTCTCCTCCACCTCCCTCAACATCCTCTCCAGCTTCTCTCTGGGCACCTCCACCTCGTTCTTCTCGGCGATTCGCAGCAGAACGCTCTCCGCTTTCTCCATCTGATTACGGGACGCGAGCCAGCGCGGCGACTCCTCCAACAGCCTTCACGATTCGATCCCATCGGAATTCAACGGATGAGGATTCGATCCCATCGGAATTCAATGGATGAGGATTTAATCCCTCGAACGCACCAGGTATTCACAATTTCCTGCTGTCATACGCCAGAAATTCGTATTAAATAAAAATAATATTCTGTTTCTGCCAAATTTCTCTACTGAATGCTTTTACCTCTGACTTTACTTCCTCTACATTTGGTATCGGATGCATTTCCCGCTCCTTCGAAGATGTTCCTGCATCCATTATTTATTACTTTGCGAGAATATTCGTCCAGGATCAAAAGGAACTTTACAAAAAAGGATTGACGTCATCACCAGCAAAGTTTTCTTGGCAGAATTAACATTTTAAGTGAAATTCCTCCTCGCGCAAGCAGATCAAACGCGGATTCTTTGGCTTAGTATGGCGTACTTCCATTACAACTCTCACCAGGGATTTTAATTGGAAAAATTGGCCGTACACGTGCCATACCGATTAGGAATCGACTTGGCACGTGGCCAGAGTAAAAGTCGTCTTCGAGTTCTCCTGCTTATATAAGGAAACTGGTGCATTCCTACATCAGTCCATATGTTGTATTTTACCCTATTTCCTTTTTTGTAAAGTTCCTTTTGATCCTGGACGAATATTCTCGCAAAGTAATAAATAATGGATGCAGGAACATCTTCGAAGGAGCGGGAAATGCATCCGATACCAAATGTAGAGGTAGTAAAGCAGGACGGGGAGATTGGCGATGAGGGCGAGATGGACCCAATGACCCCGAACGACCCAAGCGAAGGCGGCGATCACGCACATCCCCAACGTCCACGCCAGATTCACGATGACGTTGATTCGTCCCCGATGGTCAGGCCCCACCTGCTCCACCGCTGAAGTCGAATCGAGAATCCTCGCGCGTGAGAGTCGAACGCAGAAGGAGAGAGAAATGAGGTAATTAAGGAAAAGAGATAATTAGGAAAGAGAGATGATTAACGGCCGGACCGAGGATGAATCCGATCTGGAAGACGGCGGGGAAGGACCAGGCGTAGATGAAGGTGAGAATCGCGAAGCCGGTGAAGTTCGGGGCGAGGATGAGGGCCAGGCCGAAGATCCACTGGACGGTGGCCGCCGCGAAGAATCCCGCCTTTCGGCCGAAGCTGCGAGCACGAACGAGAGTCGTTCGTCCGTGTTTGCGAAAATCTCGAGACGAAAGGGGAAAGGGGAAAGGTACTAGTCGGAGAGAGGGCCGAAGACGAACGATCCGAAGATGTGTCCGGCGGAGTGGATCGTGAGGAGGTCCGTCGCGTATCGGGATTTCCCGCACGCCCAGGAGAATTCCGACGCGATCGTCTGCGAGAAGTGTTCCCGGCTCCATTCCCACTCCTCGCAATCTGCGCGTGCATCTCATGAATCTCTTCGTGCGAACGGGAAACGAACGCATGCATCGGCGGCGCATCGGATCGAACCCGAGACCGAGAGTGCCGAGCAGAAAAGAAACGATCGTCGCGTCTCTCGCCCCTCGGGTCGAAGGAGGCCAAAGGGAGCAGCCGCCGATTAACGACCGAGCGGGAGGGCGAAAGGGGGAACGAGAACCGGCGTACCTCCCCCACGGGAACTCTAAAAATACACTAAAGCGAGTCGAAAATCCCCTTCCCTCGATTCGGTTCGCCCCTGCCTCCACCTCACTGGAGGCCCCTGCCCGCGACTCACGCGACGATTCGCGTTTCCCCTTCGCCTGCCCTCTTCTCTATCATTTAAATGTGTTAAATTAGAAGGATATGCAATAGAGGAAAATTTTTACATTAAAATCGCTGGTGAGAGTTGTAATGGAAGTACGCCATACTAAGCCAAAGAATCCGCGTTTGATCTGCTTGCGCGAGGAGGAATTTCACTTAAAATGTTAATTCTGCCAAGAAAACTTTGCTGGTGATGACGTCATTCAAAGTTTCGCGTGAAACATTTTCAATGCTCTCTTCCAGAGTTTTCTTTCAAAGGTCTTTCCTTTTGCGACATCCTTTCATCGTCCATGAAAACTTTCTGGCGCGGATGAGGCTTAAGTGAGGCTGCATGGGAAAGCAAATTTAATGGCAAGGTTTATGCAAACTCAAGAATTTAATGAAATATTTTCTTTAAAAAGTATTGGAGAAATTCGTGGAAATTCGAATTTGCATTTCGAATTTCCAGGAACAATTTCCAATTCGATGGAGCCTCGGAGTTTAAGGCATTTAAATTGTGTACGATATCCTCAAATTTTTTTATATTTTATTTTAAGACATCGAGGACCTGCACCCTACACATAACGTAGATTTTAATTATACAAATAAATAAATGCAAAGCAATAACAGCGCAAATGGCAGCAAGAAATTGTACGAAAAGATCGACAATCCGCACAGGCACATCTCAGAACCAAATAGTCCACAGAAAGAATGACAGGAGCGTGGAACGACACCCGACACGAAAACGCAAATTTGTGTCTCCCGTCCTAAAAGTGTTAAGGTGAAACAACGGGAGATTTAACCCTTTGCAGTCCATTTCGTTCGGGAGTTCTCTGGCTCCTCGGGTAAAATTTATTTTAATGAAAAATTTAAAAAAAGCAACACAATATATTAACCTTTATCGTACGGAGTTTTAAAACACTTCGATCTCCTCGCGGCCGGAAATGAGTCCCGCCCTTTAAAACCCCAAGGTCTCCACAGTTATATCATTTGTTTGGGTTAGAAGCCAACCCAAGGACCAGAAGAGCTCGTTCGTGTTACTCGTGTATAGCGTTAGATATGTCTAGCATTCGTTCAATGGAAGTTAATTGTAGCGTCAAATATATCTAACATTCGCATGATAAAGGTTAAATTGAATTAAACTTTTTATTTTTATTATTAGCAATTAAACAATTATAAAAGCATTTTATTACGAAACAATGAGCAAATGTGAATAAACAAATTTTTATTCGTATTTTAGTTGTAATAATCAAGTTTTTATCTGTAAATCTGGGTGTCTAGTGCGTGTTTCATAGAACCAAAGAGTCTCTTCCCCCACTTTTGGTCTTTCTGTCGCTGCAGACTGCACAGTCTTTGGTGCTTTTCGACTCATTCTCTTGCTTGAAGTTGGACTGTCCATCGAGTCGTTCTTCTCTGTCCTGCGACGATGGACGACCGCGTTTCTTCGTTCCTGTGCGGCGCGCGTCTCCAACCGGCTGTGTATTCTAAGCCTTTTTTTATAGGCTTCGTTGCAAACAGGTTCAAGTCCTCGTTCCTGCCTGGTTGTACAGAATCGTGCTGTTCCCAATATCAACCTCTAGAAACCTAAAAAAAAAAATATTCGCCACCACACCAGGAACTTCTTGTAAAAGCGTAGCTTGCGCAGTGGTGATCCGCCCATCTCGCAACGCAGTTCGCAAATGACTGCGGGTTCGTGCAGCTCTTCAATTTCCCCTCTTTTGAGGGTGCGCTGCACCCTTTCACAACCACTGCCACGGTAAGTGCCCCACTCAAGGGCAGCACATTTCTCATTCCAACCCAGCACCATCACCTGTTGTCTTTCTTGAAAGAGATGGATTCATTTTTTTTTTTCGTTTCAGACCCTTCTTCGCTCGTACCGGTAATCCTCTCTCGTTGGCCATTACAGATCCAGTTAGGCGTAATTTGGGTTTCAAAAGTTCCATTGCCAGGTCATAGCCGGTGTGAAACCTGTGTGCAAATGATAACCACGTCCACCTGCTGTCTGCAGCAGTGTCTCTCGCAAATGAACGCATTTCAGATCTTAGAAGGGATTCTGTTGCTGGGGCTCCAAAATAAGGTTCAATAAATGAAATACGCGGAGGTCCCATTCAGTTGGCTTCTGTGGATTGTGGCAATCCAAAATGAACTTTCCTTTGAAACCAACAGTTTTTTTTTTTTTAATGCAAATGTCGCTCTCAGGGATGAAAAACTCTCTGCATTTGGTGTCAATGTAATCAAAAACCTTTCTCACCTTTTGACCTCTGCTTGCCACACCTTCAACTGGCCATGTGTGTGTATGTGTGTGTGTGTGTGTGTGTGTGTGTGTGTGTGTGTGTGGGAGGGGGAGAGTCATTCTTGAGAAAAGCCTTCCTTCAAGTCTGTTATTGGATTCAACTCCATGTTCAATGGCGCACCGTGGAATGCTTTCATTTCCATCACTCGATCCATCGGTATTCTCTCGAAAAGTTGGATCCATCCCGCAGTCTTCCTCCTCGAACATCCGAGAAAGTCGTGGAGATGTGCGTGCTCTCCTCTGACTGATGATGTTGCCATGTCGTCAGCTTCTCCGACTGTGAGCCGAACGAATGGGAATCGCGTGGATGCGATGCTCCGCTCCCTTCGGGATGTCGCAAGGAGCTATGCCCTCGAGGAGCGATGCCCTCGAGGCTACTGGCAGGTTTTGTCGGGTGGGATCGGCGTGGGTTAAAGAGCGATGTCGCGACGTGTGACCGATGACGGACGGCGCCTGACATGGGACTGCAAAGGGTTAAATGTTGAAAACTCGTGAAGCTTGTCCTCGTATCGAAATTTCCTCATTGACGAGGCCAGAGATGATGGGAATACCGGCAGTTCCTTCCTAGAGCAGAAGGCTTTAAAATGTAGATATCATTTTTTAAATTTTGAGTTATTTCATTTCGATGCTCGAGGAACGGGATGAAGACGTACCGATGATGGTCGGATTCTGGCGGGAGATTCTGATGAATTCTTCTCGAGAAGCGTCCTGGGGCCTCGAGGTCGTGTTGAACGCTTCGCATTTCGAATATTCTCCCGTTTTCCCGTCTCTGAGCCGACACAGACGACCGACCGAATTAAGTGGCGGAAAGATAAAAATTAAAAATCTAGAAATATTTCGAGTTTTTCCTCGGAAAAAAAGGGTCAAAGGGTGCTGAAATTCCGCTAAAATTCCTTTACGAGCAAAAAGAATCGGCTGCGTCGATCGTCCAAGGATAAATTCATTCCAGTTTATTCCGGAAATCCTGAAGGATTCTGAAAGACGGAAAAATGATCGGATTCCCTCTCCATTTTCCGCGTGGAGTCGACGGAATTTTCTAATGGAAAAACAGGGAAATCCGTCGGGAATCGCTTCGAGTGCGTCAGACTTCTCCGTCTGCTTTCTCCAAGCCACTAAAAAGATGGAAAATAGACGGAATCCGGTCCGCGATCCCCGAAACGGGTAAAACGACACGTGGGAAAGGATCGATCGAGGATCGATCGAGGATCGTCGAGGATCGAAAGTTGGAGTCGGTCAAGGACTGGTCGAGAGAAAAGTTGAAAGGGAAAACGGAACGAAGGAGTTCCGGTGGCCTTCCCCCTTCAAAACCTCTATGAACTCGTGACCTTTACCTTGCTTTGGGCCTTTTCATCTTTTATGAAGTGGATTCCCAGGACGAACCCGTGCCCTTTACCGACCTGTCGACTCCTTCATTGTTCATGAATCTCGTGACCTTGAGAAAGTTTTCAGACGTCTCGTTGCGATCGTTTCCCGAGATTCATCCTCGATGAGCCTCGATGAGCCTCGATGAACCTCCGACCTCTGCGGTCGGCCCCCGACCGCGATCGAAACGATCGTCTATCGGCCACCTGCCCGATCGCCACCTGTGACTCGTTGTGAAATTCGAAAGTCTGCAGGTGGTCTCGATCCGAGTGCGAACGCGATCGAGGCACGATCGGGGAAACGCGATCGAGGCACGATCGGGGAAACACGATCGAGGCACGATCGCGGACTCCCCGTTCAAATTGACATTTTCGGCTCGGTCCCTTTCAGAGTCTCCTGTTTTCTTTCTCCCTCGCGAACCCTTCAGAATTATTTTTGTTATTTTTAAATTTGCACCTTTCACCCTGTAAACGATCCCAAAGGACGACTATTCGGCTTCTCTCCTGGCAAAATCCTGAATGGCGACGAGAACCGGCGATTTTCGTCAGGGATGCTCTCGTCGGTCCTCGAATCGAAAATAATTCCGGTCCCGATCGTACGACGCATCGCCATTAACCCTTTCTTGGATAATAATGCCATTTGGCATCAAATCCGTATCTCCCAGATAATTGCTCCCCCTCCCCCCCCCCCCAAAAAAAAAAAAG